CTAGTAGTAAGTACATAATATAATAGATAGACAAACATATAATGATTGTACCGTCCAGAGACTGTATACAAGGTTGATATCATAAGATTAAATGTTAGGAAAATACACTAATAGTCGTAGAAGGGGTGGTTGTTTGTTTATATTTTAAATATAAATAAACAAATTTCTCAGTTTCACTCTTGCGACGTTACAAAATTCTACACATTACCATATAACTTTTAATTTTTGTGCAAGTAATACGAGACTGGTATTGTAAACTTGAGCGGAAATTGGTATTGTTTAACTTCGTAAAAGTATACTTCACCAGCCATACTAAAAATGTACCGAAACTTATTGTAAAAAACTTAACATCTGTAGACATTTGGTTTGAAAATTAAAAAAGTATTTTAACCAAGATACGAAACTTGTAATTACGGCCTTAGATAAGTGAGCTATTAAACAAAATTAAAAGTAATCACGAAGTCGCTTGTCAAAATATACCATGAAACATGGAGCACTAAACAGGGTAAATTATACATGTGAGGAAAAGAGAAGATAGCTCAGTCGTTAAAATAAACTAGGTAAACCTTTAATGTATTTCAGCGATATGACATTAACTATGTATTGTAAATAAAAAAAATATTTGAGCATCTTGAAATCAAGCATTGAATTCACGATTGTTTGGATAATTGCTTGTGCATGTTCTTGACAATTTTTTATGTATAATTGACTTTAAGGGAGAGATATTTTCAACCTTTGATAACGTATAGAATGGCTAATATTTTAATTTTCCTATTTTATTATATAAAATTTTACATTCGTTAGAAAATAAATATATCCGTGTTTTGAATCCTGAATTGGCCTTGTGAGCAGTTATTTCAAGCATAACAATAAAGTGCGTAGTTCTTTCGATGATTAACCTAGCTTGAAAACTTGCATTAGAATTAATTGTTATAGCATTAGATATTAAATTATACCATTGTGTGATCTTTATTAGCTGCTCTATTTGGAGATATATGGTGTACTGTCAAAAAATATTTATTTTTCTGTTATATATCATTCAGAGAATCTGTCTCATTCCATTTGGAACTGGGAATGGCCTAGTGATTATGGTGTCTGGACAGTGAATCTGAGAATTCATAGTTCATGGCCCGTTGCCACAAAAACGCATTCCTCACTTTATGGCCCTGTGTGCGATATAAAAGTGAGTGTCATATCCCATTATTCGGTCAGATAAGAGTAGCTCAATGTTTGCCGGTGGGTGACATTGAAAAGCTGTATTCTCTCTAGTCTGTCGGTTCAAAATTGGGTACAGATATGTACAGATAGTCTTTGGGTTGTTTTGCTTGAAAATATTTTAACATTTCTTTTGGTTTAAATCTCACCATCTTCTGTGAAAACACTGAACATTTTCGAAAAGTACCAAGACATTATCTTTAAAGTCAGACATTTGCTGTGATTTCGACCATAGATTCAAGTTGGTAGCAACATTTATGTCACAGAAGGCCATTCACTGGCGTACACCGATTTTAAAACTTTTTGGCAAAACAGTGTTCTATCGATTACTGTTGGGTGTAGTGAATGAAGAATGTGAAGAGAAAAAAGGTTGTATATGTATGAAGAAAAGAAAGAAAAAAATATAATAGCTGTCTTTCAAATCAGCTGGCCGATAAAGCTGGATTTCTGTACGAGTGTAAACTGAACTTTTGGGAAATGACTACCTACCATCACATTCAGTAGCCTTCATTTCGGTTATGTACGCGGTTGGTAATAAGGTTCGGGCTTAGATTTCCAAATCTCTTTAAAAATCCAAAACTGGATTAGGTGATCTGCTGCAAAGGTTAGGTGTCTGGCATGAACCAGTCAATGAACTTTAAGCAAAGTACTTTATGGTAGCATCACGGAGGGTATTAATGTATTAAGAATATGACGGTACTATATTGGTATTTGCAAGTGAACAAGTACCACCTTTAATGTATCGTATGTTTAGTGACTTTGATCTCCTTCACAGATTATAAGCCACCTAATGAAACTTGACACGTTTTATATACGATTTAATGATCTTTTGCACAGTTTTCTTTCTTATTAAAAGATAATTTCTGATTTTAATAGCTTGGTTTTGAATGTTGAAAAGTAGCGAAGTATTGTAAACCAATAGACCTAATATGTTAGACTACAGATTTGTTTTTCACTTTCTTCATAATTTGTCCATCTGCGATTTGAAATCTATAATAGGTAAATTAAGAAGAATGTAAAAAACGACATCTGCAGACTAACTTAACCTTCATCACAAATATTAGGCCTACTCATAATTTTGTTTTCTTAGGGGCTGCAATGGAATGTCTGCACATTATCACTTTTACAGGCTTACTTGTTGATGATGTGCTTAAAATTGTATAAGAAAAATCTGAACGTTTGTAAAGCTAATTAATCCGTATCTATAGTTACGAATATTTTATTTTAACACACTGTATTGTCTACTAAATTACTAAATCCAATTTATTTTGAGTTTTTATACAGTGTGGATTCTGTAAGTTATGTCTGTATAGATATTAAAAAACTGCATAACATTATTGTAAGAACCGAAGTTCAAAATTTTCGCCATTAATATTTAGCTTGTTTATTTATATAAAGATATACACAGCAGTTCGAAACGTACTGTAATGGGAGGGTTAAGCATATAGTGCCTCAATTGAAGCCTGTACTTTATGTGTACTAACCTACAGGAAATGTGTGATTCTCAATTTCAGGGCTCCCGAGCCTCAAGCTAGTGAACACTGACTTTTACCAATGAGTCATTACAATTGATTACAGCAAAAACTATTCAGATTATCATATACCCTAGCCAATGAAATGTTAATTCTATGTTAACTTTAATCCAACATAGTTAGGGTACATGTATAATATAATATAATAATGCATTTCACAAAATTTTGTTCCAGCCATATATTAAAACAGTACGTGTGCGTGTTTACAAAGCATGAAAAAGAAGGACAATGCTAACAAACTCATATATATTTTCTATGTATGAAGTAAGACGTAATTTTAGATTTCAACTAGTTGTGAATTACCAGATTTTGCAATGTTTAGGGATCCAAACTAATGGCCGTGCGTGTCCCAATAGTTAGCATGTTGAACTGTGGATTTGCAGCTCCATGTTCTCGTCCCGTTATCGACAAAAAAAAATTGCTACATTTTTGGGCTACAGCTACGTTATAAGGGTTAAATTCAAATCTCACTATTCGGTTAGACAACAGTAGCTTAAGAGCTGGTTGGTGGGTCCTGCTGCTGCTGCCATACTAAGATACCCTATCATTTCAAAATTAGGGTCGTCTAGCGCAGATATCCTAAAGTCGCCATGTGCAAGTATCCAAAAACAAACTAGTGATGTATGGTAGTTTAAAGTGATCAGTTTTTAAAATTATAATTGACATGGAAAAGTAGCTAAAATACGTTTTTTATATTCTTTTTAGAATACAGTTAAATTCACTATAGAGCATAATACAATACAAGGTTTTCGAAAACAATATATAAAATGCTTCGATTTCTGCTACTATGTAGGAAATTCTATACAGAATATATATGCTGCATCAAATATATTTTGGTGTACTGCATGTTTGGTAGTGATGGACGAACTCGTGTTCTTTTACCTTTTGGTAACTTATGAACGTAGATTTTCACGTTCATGAAACTTGACATTGACGCTTGATCTAGCGTGACTTTTCGCGGCTTGGGTAGATCAGTTTCATCATGTATGAGAGACAAATGGTTTCGTGTGACGTGTGATAAATGCTACCAATATGTATTCGTTTACACCCATTGATGACGCAGTTAGATAAATTCCTGGAACTATTAAGATTTAATGATGAATTGTCATAAGACAATATGGAAGATTAGTATTCAAAATTAACTATAGCAAACAAAGTAACTAAATGTATAAGTATTGTAGCATAATTTTCAGTTTGTACACGCATAAAAATGCTTATTTTTCGACGTAAATCTCGAAATTGAAGTCGTACCTCTGTAAATAGTCTGCTACAAATAATTTTAGCTCAAAACTTTGCTTATGAAACAGCGAACCCGTGAAAACATTTAGACAGCGTTGTTTTATTTCTACTGAATCAACTTTGCTGATCCCAACTTTTTCAACTTTTTGTTAAATTTGTGAATTTGCAACTTGTTAAGAGTCAGAAAGTTCCAAAATTTACACATGTAAATGTAAATATTCGTGAATTTTACTTTCACATATTGCAGAAGTATCTGCTTGCCTTCATTTCATTTATTCTACGTACGTAACCTTCTTTTTCTTCCTTACAGGTTGACCCAATGCTTTTCTTTTAAGAAATTACTAACATTGTGCGTAACTAGCAATCATAATACGATTGACCTGTTGTTGAAATGATATCAATTGGCAAAATAAAAAAAAAGTATGACACTATGGTAATTAATTGGCAATTTTCCAACTAAAATTTTATTCAAAAGATTAAATTTATTTATCTCTAAGCCTTACACGGGAAATTAAGTTCAGCTCCTCTGTCTAAGAACTTAAACTACTGATTTCAATTTGAAATTAAAAAATACACTTACGGGGGACTTAAGCTTGATTTGTATTTGACCAGACTGGGGAATAAACCGAATTAAATGCAAAAATTACTGACACATTATTAATAGTGTATTAATTAAATGAGAAATAAGTTTTTAACTCAGATAATTAAGTAATAGTTTTAATTTCTAGCGTCTCACATAAGACAAGAAAACACTTAGAACAAGCTAACACTTTTTTCATGTTGTAATTTTTTAAAACTTTTTGCTCCGTATAAAACTTACTAAAGAATATAACGCAAATTTTTCTGATAGGAAAAATAAAAAATACATCTATAAAATATGTGCCAGAGTATCCAAATTTGAATTTATGAAGTGTCTTCTTTTTGAACGAGAGACAGCTTGAAAGTGCATAATTATGTGGTATTTTGATTTTATTCTAGTGATAAAATGGTAATGTACTTTTTTACTTTACACAGGTTTTTTTTTTCAGCTGAGATAATGGGAGATATGTAACTAATGACCCACAGAAGACGCAGATTTTAAGAACAGGTGATGAAATTATAAACTCGGCTATAATTCTAGATGCTGTTGTTCGAGATGATGATATCAAGTGCGTACACCACTCGACCTTATCATTAAGTTCTTTCTATTGTCGACTAATTATTATACAACATATATATATATTATTTAGAAGCAGTAATTCGAACCTTTATGTATCACTGTGTTTTGTGAAGGGTCTGAAGAAACATATATTAACATATCAAACTACAATTGGATTATTAAACCAAAGTTCTTGTTTTGTCAGCACCAAACATTTCCCAGTACCTCCAGTTTTTTAGACAGTCTCCCGTTTGAGCTTTCTTGCGGTTTGATAAGATGTGTGAGAGAAAAATTGCATTTTAAATAACTGAATCACGTTATAATGTTTGTACTGTTTGCATAGTGGACAGTTTAGCGGTCTTAAACTATTTCTACAGTAGGTGTTTAAAAAAAACAAAACGGGTTGAAATACCTTTTTTTTTTGAGAAAAATATTAACTGACTGAAATTGGTGTTGTCTGTTGATCAAATCTTCGAAATTATTTCAAATAAAACATTTATTTAATCTTTCCAAACTTCTCAAAGAACTTAAACGTTTGGGGGCGAGAAAGTGAACAGGAACCAAACCATAATAATGGCATTCCAAATAAATAGTTCTGATTTAGCATCGTTACTGATATACCTCAACAGCACTGTCTATTCAAACGGTACTGTTCCTTGGCCCAGTCAACAAGATGACAGAGTTAAGCCATACTATGGTGACTACCTTGAATCCTTCAAGGCGCAATACACCCCAATTCATGGATACCTAAGTCTCATCATTTGCATTTTTGGAATTATGACTAACATTCTAAACATCATAGTTTTAACTAGGAATAATATGGTTTCTCCAACGAATGCTATCCTAACGGGTTTGGCTGTAGCTGACATGTTTGTTATGGCGTCTTACGTCCCTTTCACCATTCACACTTACATTCACTCCGATCAACTGGAGGAAGAAAAGTATTCGTACGCCTGGGCTGTTTTCACACTTTTCCACGCGCATTTTACCGTTGTTTGTCATACCATTTCTATCTGGCTGACAGTGACATTGGCTATCTGGCGATTTTTGGCAGTCAGCTTCCCAGCTAATAGCAAGAAATGGTGCACCATGCCCAGGGCTGAGTGTGCTATTATTTCCACGTACGCAACATGTGCATTGTTTTGTATACCAATGTATTTGACGTTTACAATATCGGAAGAAAACAAAAACACCTTACAGTATAAAGTGAATTTTAGTGCCATTGCAACCCGAAACAACCGTCTTCTGGAGAAAACCAACTTCTGGGTATTCAGCGTATTGACGAAGCTGGTTCCGTGCGTTCTGCTTACTGGACTCAGCGTTGGACTCATACGCGTCCTCTACGAGGCGGATTTGCGCAAGAAAAGACTGAAAAATCGAGCCACCAGCGACAAAACTTCGGATCGCACTACGAAAATGCTTTTGGCTGTACTGCTTCTCTTTCTCATTACCGAGTTTCCCTCTGGCATTCTTGCCTTGTTGAGTGGTATTCTGGGCAAGGATTTTTTCTTCAACGTCTACCTTAACTTTGGAGAGGTAATGGACATGCTGGCTTTAATCAACAGTGGCGTGAACTTCATTCTGTATTGCTCTATGAGTAGGCTGTTTCGGAAAACGTTTGCTGAACTTTTCACTCCTAAAATCGTGTCAAAATGGATCTCGGTAGCCACTGAACCCGCCACTGTGGCAACAACTTGCGTGTAAGTGATACAGGAAATGTATAAACATCTTGAAACAGAGACAACAGAGTACATCGGTGATGTGAATGACATTTTTAGCTTTATCCGTTAATATACCGTTTATTGATGTATTTATGATAGTAATTTTCATAGACTGCTGCACACACCGAATCATGAATAACTGTTTCAATTTCATCGATAAATTCAAGCATGGTTATCAAACAAGTACAGTATGTGTAAAACATCTTGGAGGTGTGCACGTGAAGCTAACTGCTCACACAAGACATTGCTAAGCAGATGCTAATAGACTGTGTGGATTTTCTCCAGGAGTCAGTCTCCGTGTGAAGCGGCTGTAATTGATGTTCTTGCGTTAGAAAGTAGTATGTTTAACTATGTATGATTCCAAAAGGCTTTAATCTAGCATCTAAAAAGGTCTCCCTAAAAAAATAAAAGATACATATTTATGTGTTTAGAAGTTGATAGTACCATTACGTTAATGAAGTAGCACAATATTACTTGTTCTAGTATTGATTGTAGTAAGCTGTTGTTGCAGTACCTAAGAGGGTTTATTACGCACTGGATTCTACTTCGTGGTGTAATTGAAGTTTTACGCTTTTTTTCCTTGCCGTGTTTATAGAAGGACTATACCATTGGAGTAAGGGATTCCAGTGCTTGGGGCTCATAAACCCTCGTGGCACTGTTCCACAACAGATTCGTTGTAATCACTCAGTCTTACTGTATGAATCTCGTTCACAGATTGATTATTGCTTTGTATATGTTATTTTGTTATTACAAAGATGTATGCCAGATATGCTTGCTATAGATGTAGTGTTGTACTATATAAAACATGTTTGCACTTTCAAGAGCGTGAAGATGAGGAAGTGTAAGTTTTTGATTTCAATCTCCCAGTATTGTAACTACATCAGATATTAAAATGTTCGCTGTTACAACTACTCTTTTTGTCTCTTATTTTTCGGTAGCTTCTGTTTTTATAATTGTTACTTTGAAACATAATCATTGATTTTCTTACACTGGAAGAACATGATTTTCCTCTTGAATGTCAATTGTCAGAATTCCATTCAGACGTTTCTTTTTGTTTGTAAGCTTATGATCGACATATGACAATATTTGCGATTGCAACTATAACATCTTTAGAATTGACTTTACTCTTTTCTCTAGTGTATCCGTAAAAATAAAAAATAAAACATTTATTTTGTGTTATTGTAAAAAAAAATATTATACGCTGAAAGTATAATTTACGAGTCAGTAATGCATAGTGATTTACTATTTATTACGGCCCGCCATGGGGGCATTATAATGTGACGATCAATCCCACTATTCGTTGGTAAAAGAGTAGCCCAAGAGTTGGCGGTGGGTGGTGATGACTAGTTGCCTTCCCTCTAGTCTTACACTGCTAAATTAGGAACGGCTAGCTCAGATAGCTCTCGTGTAGCTTTGCGCGAAATTCAAAACAAACAATGCTATTTATTTATGTTGCAAAAAAGGTTTAGTAGAAAAAGTTTATCATTTGATATTCACGGTTATCTACCGGAAATGTTTAATATTTATAATATGAAGTATGTAACATAATAGGAGTTGTTATTAGTAGAGTAGTTTTTCGTGATACTAAATGGCGAAGAAAATAAGTTCCTAAGTTAATGTTAAAGTGATATGAAGGTCTGTACCGTATTTTTCGGTGTACAAGACGCATATTTTTATCCCCAAATTTGATGTCAAAATCTGCTTGCGTCCTATACACCGAAGGTATGAATAATATATATGTATATATATACGATATACACAAGCCATGTGTAAATATATTTAAATAGGCATGCATAGTTTAGTTCAATTGAATGTGTTATCTATAACAATAGTAGTTTTTTTCTTTTAAAAACATAACTATCTATAATGTTCCCTAAATAATAAAAAACAAATTACAGTGAAAGCAATAAAGATTTAGTAGGTTTTGAATCAAACTAAATAA